AATTCTCTTTATATACAGAAGATCAGTTTAGCATATATTAAGTAAAGACTTCAACAGTTTGCACCCACATAGAAACACAAAGTGAAAAATACTGTTTGAGTACTAGTTATAGCATTAAATCACAATGTACAGCACATTAAGGACAGAGATCCTACATGAGGAGTAAGTGCACAGTGACTCCTGTTGTTGACTTAACAAATTGACACTCTTGTTTATGACATCAGTAATCACCCTATGCTCCAGTCATGAGTTTCCAAGGCTATGGAAGCCTTTTGAGTTCACTGACTCTGATCATATTTAGGCAAGGTCGTAGTCAAAGTGGAGGTTCTCTCCTCCCTTCAGAGAAAGGTACCTCCTTCTTTGATGACCCATTCTTTCCACTGGGGTCTCACTCGCGGAGATCTTTCATTTAGGTCATTTTTTTTTCCCCAGAGTGTCTTGGCTTTCCATGCCTGAAATACTTTCATGGGCTCTTCAGCCAGATCCGCATGCCTTAAGGGCTGATTCTGAGGCTGGAGTGCTGTTTAGGACATCTGCCATTCTATGGGTCTGCTGTGTATCTCGCTTCCCATGTTGGATCGTTCTCTCCCTTTTTTATTCTATCGGTTAGTATTTGCAGACACTAGTCCTGTTTATCTGATCCCTTTGACTCTTTTAGCTCTCTCTTTCTTTAGAGTAAGCAATCAAAATTCATATATTCCCGATGAGAGAAAGGAAAGAAGACTTTGACAGGAATATATATTTGGAATTAGATTAGGCAGACCAGGGAAAACTTAAATATTAGGAGGAAAGATGATATATTGCATCTTGCACTTTATTTTAGGTGCTAGCATTGTGGTACCGCAGGTTAAGCCACTGCTTGTAATGTCCTCATCCCGTATCAGAGTGCCAGTTCGAGTTTCAGCTGCTCTGCTTCCAATCCAGTGTCTTGCTACTGTGCTTGGGAAGGCAACAGACAATGGCCCAAGTATTTGGGCCCCTGTTACCCATGTGGGAGAGCTGTATGAAATTCCCGGCTTTGGCTTGGCCCAGTCCTACTTCTTGTGGCCCTTGGGGAGTGAACCAGTGGATGGAGGATCTCCTCCCGCTCTATCTCCCTCTGACTCTTTCAAATAAATAAATAAAAATTTTAAAGTATTTTAATCTCTCAGCATTAAAATTATTTAATGTTGCTTAAAAGTTTAAAAAACATTACGAGGTCCTAAACTTATGCTGCTTTTTGTTAGGTGTATTGTATTTGCATTTTCAGAGTATAAAGCAATTATGTACTATGTTTTCTCCTTTATGATCATAATCTGGTTTTAGCTCAACGTGTAAATGTGTATTAAGTGACCAGTCCTTATAAAGTTCATGGTATAGGTGTGGTATTCATTTAACTGTTGGGGAATATTTGGGATGTCCTCAAATTTTGAATATTGTGAATACTAATATAAAACTTATGTATGTGTGGACATTATGTTTTAACTTCTCATAGATAAACATCTCAGAATAGGATCATTGTACTGCATGGTATATCTTTAATTTTATAATGTACTGCCGTATTATTTTCGAATGGGCCTTAACATTCTGCATTCCCACCAGAAGTACATGAGAATCCCAGTTGCTTCACATTCTCACCAACGTTAGGTATACTTTTTAACTAACCATCGTAGCAACTGTATAGCGGCGTCTCTTTGTGATTTTATTTCATATTACTCTAGTAACTAATGCTGTAGAACATCTTATGCCTATTGGTCATTTATATATCATGTTCTGTAAACACTGTTGAAATATTTTGGCCCATCGTTTTACTGAGACGTTTCTCTTGTTATTATGTGTGTCTTGTAAACATTTTCTACCTGTCTATAGCTTGGCTTTTCACTTCTTAAGTGTTGATTTAATTTTAATAAGGTCTATTTTATTAATTTTTTAGTTTGTGTACTTTTTATGATCTGAGAAAACTTTGTCTAACCCAGTGTCTCAAATATTTCCTCTGATATTTTACTCTTGAAGTTTAACAATTTGAGCTGCTCTGTTTAGATCGATGGTTAGTCAAGCTTTATTTCAAATATCATTTCCCCTGTGATCGTTCCAGGAAGAGTTCGTTAAACTCTAACACCATCTGAACACTTATCTCAGAATACTTAATTATAATTATTTATTTAAGTAAGCTCATTTTCTCCACTAGACCATGAGCTTTTATGCATAGTGACAAGTCTCATTCACTTATGAGTGCCAAATGCCTGGACCATGCGTAATATATGAGAGACTCTCAATATTTCTTGAATGAATACATAGATAAACAGCTATGCTCCTCTTTAATTTTTATGAAGCACTTTTACACAGCATTTTATTATTAAACTCTCACAAGAAACTCATGAGAAGACATTGTTTTACTTCCATGTGTATTATTTTTAACTTGAATCTATGCATCTCACAATCCCGCAGTTGAAGATAAATGTATCTTGGAAGACTGTTTTGGAGCTGGTATGCTTTTTGACATCTCTTCAAGATGACCCTTAACTCCTGAGTCTCCCTATGACCAAGGTGATCCTTGAATTTGTTCTCCTTCTTCCACCTACATTTTGCTTTGCATTTAATTAGATGCTTTGGACCCTTTTGTGTACTGGCCAACATCTGTTTATGCTTCACCATGTTGGACTCTGTACAGCTAACATGAAGGGGAATGTTGACCTATTTTGCCTGACTTACTCAGGTTTTTGTGGTTTTGAAAACCTGGCCTGAAGGTGGCTGTCAGTGTCTTTTATAACATCCTGGGATACAGATGCCAGGAAGGAAAAGTACAAGCCCAGAGCAAACAGTCACTTCCTGTTTTCAACACAATTAAAGCTCTGAGGTTATCAAAACTGGGTTGCTCCCTCGCCTTCACTAATGAGCCCTCCCCATCTTTGTTAATCCCTCCATTTGGGACTATGTCACCCTCAGTCTTCTCTGTCACATTTCTACGAGC